CAACACTTACATGAATACAATTATTCCAAGTGACTAAAAAATACAGTAGGTACTTAAATAATATAAATGATTGATGAGAAGGTAGAAGTAATAAAACAGCAGCTAGAGAGTGTTTATTGCACCTATAAAATATATAAAAGCTCAGAAGGAAATAAAAAATGATTAGTACTTTGCTACGCCGACTTCAGACATTATAACTTATTTTTACTATCTATAAATTGCCAGAGTGAATATCCTACACTTACTTATTTATATAATTATACTTACTTCATTAAAATAATATTCAAATCTCTTATATCTATAAATTTTAAATCCAAGGAATTAATTCTGACTAAGTCTGATGAGAAATTTGATTCTCCAGGAATTTTACGTAAATCAATGTACTATAGCAGTTTCATATTAGCTCCATAATTCCTAACATTTGTATAGTGTTTAACAGATACAGTATATTTAATATTATCTCATTTGAACCTTTTGATGACTTTGTAAGACAAGGAATGTCACTGCTATTATACATATTTTTTAACTAGATGAGAAAATGAGTTTAGCAGCTCATATCATAGAAACCACGTAAACATTTAGCATATTACAGTTTATGAAGTGCTTTGACATAAATTCTTTCTGTTCCAAAATAAACCTGGAAAGAATGACACTAGATTAGCTGAGTGACCTTGTGGGATAAATAAAACGTTTTTTTTTTCTTTTGGAGAAGTTTTTTGCTATAGGGTGCGTACACTTGCCAGAAAGACGGAGAGACAGAAAGAGAGAAATCACCCCCCATGGGGAATGGCTATGCTACAATTCCTTCTTCTCCATTCCCCTCTTGGGATCTTGGGCATGCACCCACACGTGTCCAGGCTGAGTTTAAGCCTCAGGGTCCAGGACGCGAACCGCGGTCGACTACATGGGAGTCCAGCGACATAGCTGTTATGGTAATTGCTGGTCCCAGGAATAAATGAAACTTCTGAGTTTGATTTTCTCATCTCTAAGTGGGAGAATTAATTTACACAACTGTAAGAGAAGTTCTCATGGACTGTCCTAAGTATAGCAGTACTACTAAGTTGTACTCCACTATCCAATTTTCCTATTTTCCCACAGAATCCCTGCATTTTAGTTTCAATGGCCATTCAATATAAAGACTGTATTTCTTACCTCCCTTGCGACTGGGTTCTAGCTATGTTTTGATCCACTGAATATGACCCCAAGTGATGCAGATAGCCTAGAGGCCAAACCTGTAGTGGGTAATAACCTCTTTCACATCTGGTGGAATATGGATGAAGTGGTGAACATCTACAACCATTCAGTGAGGCATCACAAATATTCACACAGCAAAGCAACAGAAGAGACTGGCACACCTGGTACCAGGGAGCTGCCATGGCAGCCCTACATTTACACACCATCTATCAGAGGAGAGGGAAAGAAACCACTCTGTTCCCTCTCCTAAATTTTGGTATAATTTACAGCAGCCTAATTAACAGCCTAACCTGCATCCTAACTAATTCAGTAAGAATTAAAGAAAGTATGTGAAAATAACCCATAAACCATAAAGCAATTACGTATCTTAAGGAACACTATCACTGCAATGGCATAAGCCTTTTGTAGCGTATCAAACAGTATATTTTTAAAATGATTCAAATTATTGGGGTCAGCAGGTTGTGTAGTGGTTAAGGCACTGGACTCCCATGAGGCTGATCATAGTTCAAGGCCCAGGCCCAGTAGCTTGAAACTCACACCAGGTACACGTGTGTGAATGCCCAAAATCCTGAGAGGAGAATGGAGAAGGGATTGCAGTGTGGCCCTCCCCACTGGGAGATGATTCTTGCTTTCTGTCTCTCTCTGTCTCCCTGGTGAACACATGGGACCTACAGCAAAAACCTCCTCTCACCAAAAATAAAATAAAATAAAAAAGATACGAATTAGGAAAAGGAGGCAAAAATTCAGATAGAATTTGATTTTGAAATGCAGAGCCAACATCCTAATAAATGTTTAGCCTGTCTTAGAGCAGCTGGAATTTGGGATCCATGACTATTCAGGAAAGCAAATAAATAACTGTAGATTAATTAAAAATTATTTTTCTGTTTCTCCCCACTTGACAGTCAGCCCTTTTGAGCAGGGTCAGCCACACCCCTGAGACACAATGGAGACAGGCCAGATAAGTTACAGAGTTGGATGGGACACCTCATGTATTTGCTTCCTTGGACTGCCACAATAAACGATGACAAATTTGGTGGCTTACAACAAAATCACTTTATATTTTCCTAGTTCTGAAGGCCAGCAACCTGAAATCAAGGCGATGGCAAGGCTGGTTCTTTCTGGAGGCTCTGAGGGAAAATCAATGCTTATGTCTCCCTCAGCTTTTGATGGCTGCTGGCAATTTTTACCTTACGAAAGGCATCATTCCAGTAGCTGCCTCCACTTTCACACTGTCTCATCCCACGTGTGTCTGTGTCCTTTCTGTTTCTTCTTTTTTTTTTTTTTTTTGCTATAAGGTGTGTGCGCTCGCCAGATAGAAAGAGACACAGAAAACGAGAAATCACCCCACCCCACCCCACCCCCCCAGGTAGGATGGCCATGCCGCAATCCCTTCTCCTCCTTTCTCCTCTTGGGATCTTGGGCACACACGCACACGCGCCCGGAGTGTGCGTGTGTGTACTTGAGTTTTTCTTAAGCCACCGGGTCCAGGACGCAAACCGCAGTCGACTACATGGGAGTCCAGCGACATAGCCATTATGCTAACTGCTGGTCCCTCCTTTCTGTTTCTTACAAAGACACATTCCTTGGTTTTAGGGCCTACTCTAGTTCAGCGTGGTCTTGACACCTACCTTAATTTTCTGCGTTGTTATGGGTTGAACTGTGTCCCCCAAAAGGCTATGCTGAAATTTTAACCCAGTATCTCAGTATTTGACCTTATGCAGAAACCAGGGTAATGCAGATTTAAATGGTTAAGATGAGGTCATACTGAGAAGGGTAGGCCCTTAATCCAATATGGCTGGTGTCTGTATAAGAGAAAAAGACACACACAGGAACATACACAGGGAGAATGCTATGTGACAATGGAGGCAGAGACTGGCGTGATGTATTTACAAACCAAAGAACACCAAGGACTGTAGGCAAACTACCAGAAACAAAAAGAAAAACTTGGAAGGATTATCCCTTAGAGATTTCAGAGAGAGAGGATGGCTCTGCCAACCTCTTGATTTTTGGACCTCTAACCTTCAGGATTATGAGAAAATAGTTTGTGGGTTTTTATTATAGCAGCTCTGGGAAACTAATACTGAGGTGGACATGAATTTAATTTTTGGATCTCTAGTCTCCAGGACTGTGTAAGACACAGTTTGTGGAGTTTTACTATAGCCTAACATAGAGGTGGATATGAATTTGGGGAGGACATTATTCAATCCACTATACTTGATCATTAGGGCTGTTTTCAACACTAGCAATTCTAACTAGTAAGAACTTTGTCTTTTTTTTTTTAATAGAGATTTTTGCTATAAAGCATGTGCGCTCACTGGAGAGACAGAGACAGAAAGTGAAAAATCCCCTAGTGGGGATGGCCATGCCACAATCCCTTCTCTTCCAATCTCCTCTCAGGACCTTGGGCATGCTGCTCATGCACCTGGCATGAGTTTCAAGCTGCCAGGTCCGGTACTTGAACTGTGGTTGACTGTGTGGGAGTCCAGTGAGGTAACCTTTATGCCATGGGCTGGTCCCAGAACTTTGTCATCTTATGAAAAGGGTGACGCCAAGGGTCATAATCTTTGCCCTATGCTGTTGATAGGAGTTATCAATTAGAAGTATGACAATTCCCTGCAAACTGTCAGCAATGCTCTTCATACAACTGTTTCCCTCCCCACTGTGACCATCATCCACATCATTGCTTCTACTCAAAGGCCACAGTTAGCCTCCCTGGCAAAGAGCAGAGTAATGGCTGCAGTGATACCAAATGCCAACCTGGCATCCATAACCACTGGTAGGGCTACAGGTAAGGGCACTCCTGAGCTGAAAGAGAAGTTCCTGGGTTGGCATGGCCTTCCACATCCTCACCTAATATTGGGTTGTCAGTAATGTCATGGCACATTTTTGCATAGAAAAATACATCATGACTTTCCTGACAACCTAATACATCCATGATGTATTTAATCTGTCATCCAAGAAGCTAACAAAAATGACTGGATTGAGAAGGTGGAGGAGCAGGGTTCTGAGAGAGCTCTGAAGAGCATCCAGTTACCCAAGGTTCTGTCTGACTCCTGAGACTTTTATAGTGGTACCCACTCCTCCATTTTTGATGCAAGGTGGCACTATCCTTAACTACCATGATATCAAGTTTAGTTCCCCATATCAAAACAGACTTGTCTAAAGCAACTACACAATAGAGCTCAGACTCTACATAAAATCCATGATATAAGCCTTGGACCTGACCTCTAGCAACAGCTTGAAAAAAACAGAGAGGACCTCAGCTGCAAGGGAGTCTGTGCCCAATGGTACCCTATAATGTGCTAAGAATCTCTCATTTCCATTCAGCAGGGTCTATTCTATTTTAGGGAAACATTTTTTTTTTTTTTTTGCTATAGGGCATGTACACTCACCAGAGAGACAGAAAGCAAGAAATCATCCCCAAGGGGGCATGACCACACCACAATCCCTTCCCCTCCATTCTCCTCTTGGGACATACATGCACATGCTCCTGGCATGAGTTTTAAGCTACCAGCTCTGGGACTTAAACCGTGGTTGAGTACGTGAAAGTCCACCAAGGTAACTGTAAACGCCATCTACTGGTCCCAGCAGTATCTATTCTTAATGATAGTTTAAAAAACCTTGCTTTGTCATGTATTATTAGTACTAACCATGAAGTCCTCACTGCATCTAGTGAAGAGGTGAGGCAGGGTAGGGGAGTGACTTCAATAATTAGAGTTGTGATGAGATACCAACACAATATTACAAGCACTATAGAGAATGTATTCAATAACATTAACTCTTGAAAGCTCTGGCATATTTCTTACCTGTATATTCAGAAAATGGCTTATGTATAACTCCTAGCACAGGTTTACCATTTACAGCCACACACACCATAGTAGTGACATACTTTCGAAGATCCTCTGAGGAAAAAAAACAAAACAAAACACACAGTTGTCAGAGTAATGTGTATAAATTCAGGATACAATAGTACACTTTATTTCAAATTAAAAACGTGTGTGAATGAAACGTCTTTCTAAGACAACAATCCCCTCAAGTAAAAAGAGTCCAGGAGTAAGAACCAGTTTAAGAGAGTAGATAAGAGTTATGGTTCTACAGACAGACAATCTGGATTATTCTCTTGGCCACCATTTTACTAGCTACATGTCTCTGAACATATTACTTAAATTTAGTTTCTTCATCTAAATAATACATATAGATTAATTCAGTATCCATCTTTAGGTATAGATTAACTTAATTTTAAGATTAAATTTAAAAATCAAGTTTAGGTGCCTAATAGTCCCTGCACAAGGGATGTGCAGAGTAAATGTAAATCATCATTATAAGATCAGGAAAATTTAAGTTTAGGGAAAACTCCTCGATATTCCATATTTCTATTATGTACGCCTATAAAATATTATATCACAACGGTAGTTACTCTTAGATAGATATATACACTAGTATCCTCTCTCTGTTCTCCAAATAGTTACCTATTGAGTATCTATTATGGTTCAAGTTCAGTACATATACACTAGACTACAAAGGTGAAAAATTACAAACCCCCACATTCAGGGAGTGTTTTATCCATCTAGTAAGACAACTAGATCAACAAATATCATAATGGGTTGTCAGGAAAGTCAAGATTCATTTTTGCATAGAAAAACAGAGAGATACATCATGATTTTTCTGACAACCTAATATATACCAAGAGAAGTGTAAAAGCAGGTATTAGTTATTGCTGGGTTAAAAAACAAACAAACCAACCAAAAAAAAAAAAAAACAGGTCTGAGAGGATCCACAGAAATGAAATCTGAGTTAGTACTAGATAAGAAGCCAGGAAATAGGGGATGGAGTCTGTGGGAAGGGGGACAGACTTTGTCTTTTGAATAATTAATTGCTCTCTGGATACCTAGGATTTACTATTTTGAATTCCAAGGGCAGAGGAATATGCAATAAAACCTGAAGTTTGGAATATCCCAAATCAATATTATATTCTGGTTAAATAAATGTCCTCAACAGATGCCATAGGATCCATGTTGCTGCTGTTGCTAAAAACAATCCCTCACTGAAGGATCAGTGAGCCATTAATTCTTAGTGGGCTACTACTGTCCCTTACAGGAGATAGAAGGCTGAGAATTGCTGATCCAGTAAAAATGTTTTGTACAATCTTCTATTAATTCAGGTTTTATCTTAAAATCTAAATTGAAACGTCAAAGGATCCACCACCAATGTATATACCACCTACCTTGTTTCTTTTTTTTTTTTTTTTTTTGAGAGGTTTTCGCTACAGGGCGTGTGCGCTCGCCAGACAGAGAGAGACATAGAGACAGAAAGCGAAAAATCACCCCCCAGAGGGGATGGTCACGCCACAATCCCTTCTCCTCCATTCTCCTCTCGGGATCTTGGGCACGCACGCACACGCGCCCGGTGTGAGTTTTAAGCCACCGGGTCCAGGACGGGAACCGTGGTGGACTAAGTGGGAATCCAGCGACATAGCCATTACGCTAACTGCTGGTTCCCACCACCTACCTTGTTTCTGATTCTGATACAAAATGGCAATCTAAAGTTTGAGACCAATTTTAAAATTACCCGTATATTCCTGCGTAGCATCAAGTGGGTCAATCCAGACAGTAACACTTTCTGCTGGCACTTCTTTAGGGGTAGATATTTCCTTCAGGATATCCTCGGGAATCTTACGATCCCATAAGATAACCTCCTGATCAGTTGCATCCACATGTTCCTCAGTATTTATCTGCGTAGAAAATAGTTGACCATTTAAAAAAAAATCACTACTTGATGAAATGCAAAAAGAAAATTTCAGATAAAAACCATATCAACTGTAAATAATCCTTATTTTCACTCATTTCAAGAGATCTCACAACAGAGAATATATTATTAAAAAAAAAAAAAGAAAATCCCAGTGACATCGTGTCTTTATACTTTCAAATCTAATATCCATGCTTAATTTGTTGGCTAAGCAAATCAGAGAGCACAAATACAGAGACATATAGAAGAACTAAGCATCAAAGTTTGAAAGAAACTACTTAAAGTTTGATGATGATTTAAGAAAAATAGCAGCTCTCGAGTTTGAAAGCAGACGATATTCTGGAACACTGATCACAAACAACTAGAGTTAGAAGACAGAAGCAACTAGAGTCAGGAGAAAAATGACAATGGTCTTAAAAGCAACATGTCATAAAAATAGGGAATTATGAATGCAAAGAGACAAAATGTTCTAGTAAAGTGATCACCCAAAATATAAGCGGTCCTCCTTACCTATTGAAGGATAAATACACTTCTAGACCACCAAGGATATCTGAAACCAGGGACAGTTCACAGTCCTGTAGATACTATGGTTTTTCCTGTATGTACACACTTATGATAAAGATTAATTTACAAAAGAGGCAAAGTAAGAGATTAACACTAACCAAAAATAAAATAGAAAAATTATAATATACTATAAGTTGTATATGTGTGGTCTCTTTTTCTCAAAATATCTCACTGTAACTGAAACCACAGAAAGTGAGACCACAGGTAAGGGAGGACAGGTGAACCTTTGAACGGTTAGGGAGAGGAGATCCGGAAATGATGAAACAGTTGATAAACTAGAATACCTAATCTAAATGAAACAATAAAACCTACCTAAATAAAGCTTAATAAGGGACATAGTAAAGACATCTTTTCACTACATACCAAAGATGGGTTACAAAATAAAGAGGTAAAGTAAAATGTTCCACTTTTTATTTACTAGAGAAAAAAATTAGAACATAAAATAAATCTGACTTACCATACAGATATGTAAGAATGTGGGGTGAGCAGAGAAGAAATACACACACACACACACACACACACACACACCACCTTACATAAAATTATTTTATCCACAATACACTACAGATTCCTTTAAATTGAGATTTCTCAAACTTGGCACTACTTACAGTTTGGAGCAGATCATTCTTTGTTGTGTGGCCATACTGTGTATTGTCGCATTTGTAATAGCATCCCTGGCTAGATGCCACTAGAGCCCACCAGATGCCAGCAACACCACCCTTCAGCTGTGACAACCAAAAATGTCTCCAAACACTGCCACGTGCCCCACCCTATCCTATGTGGAAAATCACTGCTTTTGATTGTTAAGTTTCTTAATGCATATAGTCTGATTTGTGAAAGAATGATTTTAAAATGTTTTAGAATGGCTTTTACTTTTGTAAATTGAATATACCAATGAAGCAAATCTAAGAACTGACTGCACTTTAAGAATGAATAAAACACTGTCACTTGATCAAATACTGCTTCGTTAAAACATTTCCTTGATCAGATCATAATACAAACACACACAAATGTCCCCTAGATTTGGATTTAGTTATAGGCCAGGCTGTTGGGTCCTGTGCTTTCTACAAGCTTCCTTTCTAGAATAAGTCATCATTTTTATACTGCAACTGATGCCATGCCTAGACTCCAAGATACAGTGACAGAGCGATTCCAGTGCTGACAAACATGCTAAAAGACCACAAATAGAACAAAACCCCAATATCTAGAAGGTTCTCTGAAACATCCAAAATTGTCATAGAAGAGGTTAAAAATAGTAATATTCCAGAAACATTAAATCATAAAATATTTCTTAATGTAGACCACTATAAACATCCAATTCATCCATTATGCCTTTATTAGTTCAGCAAATGTTTGTTTTATTTATTTTTATTTATTTTTTTGGAGAGGTTTTCACTATAGGGCGCATGCACTCACCAGACAGACAGAGACAGACAGAGAGACAGAAAGCAAGAAATCACCCCCTAGGGGGGATGGCCACGCCACAATCCCTTCTCCTCCGTTCTCCTCTCGGGATCTTGGGCACGCACGCACATGTGCCCAGCGTTAGTTTTAAGCCACTGGATACAGGACGCGAATCGTGGTTGACTACATGAGAGTCCAGCGACACAGCCATTACACTAACTGATGGTCCCAGCAAATGTTTATTGATTGCCTACTATATGCCAAACACAGTTTCAGGTGTAAAGAAATAATGGTGACCAATATGAGACAAAAATATCTGGTTTTGTGGAATTCAGATTCTAGTGGAGATAAACACTAAACAGGAAACATAAGGAAAACATGCAGAATGCTGGACACGGTAAGGTAAAGAAAATAAGGGCTGGAAGTTGGAGAGTAGCGGTAGGATTTTTCTTTAAGTTCACATGGCTAGGATTATCCATAATAGCCCCCAAATCCCTAATATCCATCAAATGATAAATATATTACTGTGGTATATCCATACAATGGAAAGTTATTCAGCCATAAATAATAAAGGAGTACTGATTCGTGTTAGAATATGGATGAATCCATTGCTTTGAGAAAGAAGCAAGGCACAAGAGACCACGCACTGTATGATTTCACTAATGTAAAATGTCCAGAATGTTCAGAAAAATGTCCAGTTCTATGAGTCAACTTCAAACTAGCTCAAAGTATAAATCAAATGTTAATACTCTCATAAACAATGTTATTATAGTACTAATAGAAATTAAATGGTAAACTATTCTGATGTTAACTTTACATGTATGTATATTACATTTACTTGGTCTACTTAGCAACCTTGACTAATAATGTATTTGTACTTCTGTCATAACGATATATCATAAAGATATTTTGTACATAAAAAAATACAGAATAGGCAAATCTATGCAGAGAGTAGATCAATGGATGCCTAGAGTCAAAGGTAGGATTTCATATGAATAGTAAATAGGGACAAGGACATTATTAAGGTGCTGAAAATGCTTAAAAACTGACTAATGATGATGGATGCACAATTTAGCAAATGCAATAAAAATTACTTACAATGGGCAAATTATGATATATAAACTGCTGCAAAACAGGTGTTTTAAAAAGAGGGTAGTTAGGCATTGGATGATACTTGAGTGAAATCTAAAGAAAGTGAACCTGGCAGGCATCTATGGGAGGTACAATCCAGCCATGTAATGACAAATGCAAAGACTTAAGGTGGCAGTCTGTAGGTATTCAGGGGGCAGCAGGATGTTAGCAAGTGAGTAGAACATGGCTAAAGCAGAGTGAGTCATGGAGCAAGGCACTAAAGATGAGGTCAGAGAGTAACAGAAACCAGATGGTGAGTGACCTTGCAAGGCCCAATACAAGCCACCTGCTCTGCATCATAACCTCTATTAACACTGTCCAGAGGGTTCTGGCCATGGCAATAAGTTAAAGTGGTGAGGAGGAAGGAGTGTGTGGAGAGGTGTAAAGGCTAGATGGAAGAAATAAAACCATAATGTGCAGTTGATGACTGACCAAATTAACTCACAGATAAACTACAGAATTAATAACAAAGCTGCTAAATTTAAGATAAACACAGTCAACTGCATTTTTACATCCAGCAACAAATGTGTAAATACTTTAACTATTTAACTAAAAATAAAAATAAAGTACTCAAAAATATATCTACACAAGATGTGTAACAATATGGGGAAAATTAACCTTTACTGAGACATTAATAAAAGCTTATATAAAAAGGAATTCCATTTTAATGGATAGACTTAAAAAATAGGAAAGATGTTAATTCTCCCATCACTATAGATTTAGTGAACTCTGATCAAAATCCCTATAGGTTGTTTTTCTCTTTCTCTTCCTGCAAACTGCATGAGACATTTATGAAATTTACATGATAGAGCTTAACCAGAAAGAGCTATGACATTTTGAGAAAAGGGGGCTAAAAAAGAAGAGTACTATGGTGAGATAATGTTCACTACCAAATTTCAAGACCTAGTTTAATGCTAGAATTATTAAGGTAGTATTAGTACTAGAGAAGCATTCTGATTGCAGAGATCACTCTCTTAATGACAACTCTAGGTTAGTTCATGCAAACAAAAAAAAGGAATATAACATAAGGAGGGGAAAATAAAAAGAGTGGGGCAGTCTCAGGAAAGAAGCTCATGAATCTTGACTACTATAGTTATAACGTAAAAATGGCAGGGTCAAGTCTGACTGAGCTATGATCAAGATTTCTGCCCAAAGGTAAAGTCAGCTTCTCCATATACTGGGTCATTAGAAAAGTTATAATGTATTTTTTCAAGTTTTTCTAACAAAAATGCATCATGACTTCTCCAACAACCTAATACATTCAACTAAGAATGAGCTAGATTATAGAGCCACACTTGAAAAATCTTCACTGAGAAAGAATCAGGTTAGGGAGAAACAAACAGAACAGGAGAAAAAACATTAGCATAATTACCCAATCTGCTTTTGCCCACCTGTACTTATAACTTGTCACTACCACTACATATCTGCAAGTTAAATAAATCCACCTCCTGCCACTGTATATGGCCTTAAAAACTATTATAAAGGTCAAAGCCAGGTCTTTCTCAGTGCCTTTCCACATTCTACAACCAGTCAGTATAGAAAGTCTACCTCTGAATTCTAAGTATGTTTCTTCAGGTCTACCAAGAAAATCCTAGTTTAAGCCACCATCTCTCTCACACTTGGATTCCTACAACAGCCTCAGAATGATCTTGCCTCCTACAGTGCATTCACTCACTAACATCTTCATTTATTCAACAAATACTTAATGACTGCACACTTAACCATTTGGGGCAATGGGGTATAATAATGATTAAAACAGACAAAAATCACTGTCTTTGGATAGCTTTCTTAATTTAGCAACCTGACATCTTCCTGAACAGGTCATGTCACTCTGAATTTCAAACTTCCAATAGTTTCTCATTATGCAGACATAAGATCTAAACTCTT